GGAAGCTCTAAACTGAGTGGCAAGAGTACTCTATAGAGTAAACTATAGAGTAAATAGTTTCCTATGTATGGCAGAGAAAGCCAAACTATTTTGTTAAACAGTCGTAGAAAATAATTGGTCAATATTTGCCCTTCAATCCGGAATTTGTCACGATCAAGAACGCATTTGGTTCGTGTTTATGGGAAGACAAATCTAAATTTTCATGATAACAATCCTATCAGATTGATTAGCACATTTGGATCCTGATCAATACCGGTGGTTGAGGTAATAGTTGCTCATTTTCGAGAAAAAAAACCAGTTTTGCGAAAAGTGGACAAATAGTCGATTGTTTGGAGTTTCCTAACGTTTCGCAAGCACGAGCGGCTGCATCTTCAGAGGGGTTAAAACCACCTGTGGATATTCTTTGCCTCGACTTTTCAATTCTCTATCCAACGATGCCAAAACGAATTATCTGGCTCGAACGGTTCTTGAGAAACTTTGAAAAATGCAGCGTCATGTTCAAGTGGATTTTGCAACTCAGAAAAAAAACACACAAATCTGAAACTTCCTAAAACCAAGACTTTTTTGAGAAAACAGTCAACATTTCCTTATTGATGGTTCAGTTTCTCAAAAGGCCATTTAGTTCTCTCGGGAATGATGTAAAAATGGCAAAAACGGGACGAAAAACATGAAAATTTTAGTGTTTGCAAGACTTAAGACTTACTTAAGACTGTTGAGTCTTACCTATAAGGAGATGGTGGATTTGCGGCGAGTTCTAACTTGCGGTAGGATTCTTCAATCGGGCTTAGAATGTCGGTGACGCTGAACGGAGTCGAATGGTGCAGCTGCTGCAGATGACTTAAGGAGCCAAGATGCCCTTTGGGACTCAGGCTCATTGCCAGCTCCACTCCATTGAGTTCGGGCAGGAGCCCATGCAGATCGCTCTGTCCTCCGGTGCCCCGGTCCACCGGCACCACGGGACCTTCCCCGTAGTTGCCACCTGAAAATTGCAAAAAACCGAAAATTTACCAAACAATTCTGAACGTTTCGGTTGCAACTGCAACAAGCATTGTCAGGGGTGAAGCTAACAGGAAATTATGGCAGGCAGTCAGATTTTAGGGAGTCCAGCTCAAAGTAATCAGATAAACGAATCAAGGAGTTGAAAACAAGTTTAGGTGAAACGTGAACTTCAGTTGATATTGGGCGAAAGTTAAACAAAGGAATTTCACTAAAACAACGCTGTCTTCACAAATATTTTCTTTTTCATTACTTTTCCTTGCTTGTTCCTCAAAATCTTCAGTCCTTATCTGCGGGTTTAAGCTGGCATTTGATATTTAAAAATATACTTCAGTTTCCGATTCTGTTTCGCAATGTTCTCAGTTTCAATAATTTTTTCTGTTGTTTCTGTTCGATGTTTCACTTGTGTTGTTTAAGTTGCGTTTTACTAGTTTTATTTTTGATACTCTGCTTTTGCGAGTTAAATTGCAAATAGTTTTTTTCTATGCGATGTTTTATTATTCTAGGAAATTTACTTGGCGACGCATTAATGTTTCGGGAAAATTATCAGTTTCTTTCGACACTGAGAAAATTGCTTTTTTTTCTCTGTAAATTGTCATCTTTCACATTCAATTTTTGCACGAATTTCTATGTTTTCTTCAATGCTATAAATGTTGTCAATCTTTTTCTCCGTGCATTTTTTGTTTATTGTCAATGGTTGTCTGTTTCTCTTTGTTTTTGTATGCTGTG